AATTGTGGGAGAGTCAAGAGAACAGAGGATTCTTGGAGAAATAAGAGAACAGATAATTCTGGGAGAAAGGAGGACTGGTGGGTCAGGGCAGAGGATTCTGAGAGGAAGGTGAGAACAGGATTGTGAGGGCATTGTGGGAGAAATAAGAGAACAGATAATTCTGGGAAAGAGGAGAACTTGCCGGCCAGAGCAGAGGATTCTGGGACAAAGACGTGAACACAATAGTGGGAGAAGCAAGGGATTGTGGGAGATCAAGGGAACAAAGAATTCCAGGAGAAACAAGGGAGGGGTCATGGGATAACGAGGACACACAGGATTCTGGGAGAAGGTACTGTGGTCCAGGGCAAATGATTGCTCAATTTCTTTCTCACACAGAGGAAGCAGATTCTTGGAGAAAAGAAACAACAGATGATTGTGGACGAGAGCAGAGACTGTGGGAGAAATTAGGAGAGATCAGAGGATTGTGACAGAAGCAAAGAATTGTGGAACAGAACAAAGGATTGTGGGAAAGATGGGCACTTTGGGTATAACAGAATTATGGAAGAAACTAAGAATTGTGGGAGATAACGGGATTGTGGAGAAGCAAGGAATTGTGGGACAGGACAGAGGACTGTGGGAAAGACGTGGATGTGGGGGCAACAATGAATTGTGTGAGATATGCGGTATTATGGAAAGACAGAATTGTTACAAGCTGAGATGGATGCAAATGCCAAATAGTCCTATGAGACGGCATAGTCCCTGGGAAATATATTTGAATGACATTGGAAGTTCCTCCACCAACAGAGAAGTAAAGCACATTCTCAGATGAGAGACTAGTGACTACCAGAGACATACTGACCAGGGAAGAGTTAGAAGAACTCTTAAAATTGTCCCCAATGGGCTGATGACTGCCCAAAGTCACACAGAAATCATTTCCAATGTGCTTAAGTGTCCTAAACAGCAAAACTTTAAAATGATTTAATTTCTGAAAGGGGGAAAAAGTTATTTTTGAAGGTTTTTGTTTGTTTGTTTTTGAGCAACATATGCAAATTTTCTGTAGGGTTACCACACAAAATGATGGGGACTGTGCCTTAGGGACAATTTGGGTTTTTTTCAGTATCAAATGGGGGCTGGGGTTGTGGCTCAGTGGTAGAGTGCTCACTTTGTATCTGTGAAGCACTGGGTTTGCTCCTCAGCACCACATAAAAATAAATAAATAAACATATTGTGTCCATCTACAACTAAAAATCTATTTAAAATAAATATCAAATAGATTTTCTTAGGGACAACTTTAATTTTAATATTTCAAGGGTGACTAAATGTACACTTAAGAGCCTTAGTGCACCTTCGTATCACCTCCACTGCATACTTCTGCAGGAGATGTTGTTGATTTTACAAACTTCTGTGTTTCCAAAAACTGACTTAACAGGCATTAGCTAACAATACATCACCGGGGTGTCTAAAATGACAACTGCCTCTTTTTTTGGGGGGGGGTGCTGGTGGGCAGGACTGGGGATGCAACCCTGGCCTCTTATGTGGTAGGCAAGCAGTCTACTACTGAGCCACATCCCTAGCCTGACAGCTGCCATTTTAAGAGAAATTCTTTCCAAAATTAAAAATACAATCAGTATTGTATTTTGTCTTTTTCAAAAGGCTTTCCCTACTTGCTTTCTTCTTCCACCCAGTTCTTTCAAAAAAGTATTTACATAGATTATTCTGTTACTAGAATAGAATTATTATTTTTAAAAGCTTGTTTAATTTACCCAGTACACTGTGAGATAATTAAGGGAAAAGTCTATAACCTGTGGCACCTAATTCAGAGCCTGACGGAATCCTTGGCAGTCAGCCAAAGTTGTTTAAAACACAGAGACGGGGTAGATCCATATGATGGATGGAATATTATTCAGCCAAAGAAAGAACAACATACTAATATACGTGTGCCACATGGATGAACCTTGAAAACTTTGCTAATTAGAAGAAATCAGACACAAAGGACAGATCTATGTGAAATGTCCATAAGAGGCAAATGCATAGGGACAGAAGATTACTGGTTGCCATGGCTGGGAAAGGGGAATGGGAATTAACTGTTAAGGGCCTTGGGGTTTCTTTTTGAGGTTATAAAAAATAATCCAGATTTAGATAGTGGCAGTGGTTACCCATCATTGTAAACATATCAGAAACCACTGAAGAGTACACTTTAAAAGAATGAATTTTATGTTATATGGGTTATATCTCAACTTTGTGTGTGCATCATGCTGGACTTGAACCCAGGTCCTCTGGCATGCTAGGGAAGTTCTTGCCCAATGAGCTGCAGCCTACCCCTAGCATCTTCTCAGTTCTCTCTTTGTGTGTGTGTGTGTGTGTGTGTGTGTGCGCGCACGCGCACGCTGGGGACTGAACCCAGGGCCTTGTGCATGCAAGGTAAGCACTCTACCAACTGAGCTACATCCCCAGCCCAAATCTCAGTTCTCTTAAAAAGCAAAGGAAGAGGGGGAAATCAGCATTTCTTTACAGATGAAAAGATAAGAGATCTCTAACTTTCCATGTGGAAGGAAGATACCATTGTGAAATGTCCAACTTCTCCTGTGGGAGCACTATGCAAACTCAAAGTTTGTTGTTTTTTTAGATGTCTCCTTCTTCTATTTGTTTTTCAAGATATAAATTGATGAAACAAATAGAGTTCAAATTTCAAAGAAAACCTCCTTTTCGGAAATGAAATGTGAAAGATGACACAATGTCAAAGTGAGGAGAGGGCTGGGGGTGCAGCTCAGTTACAAAGTGCTTGCCTAGCAGGCATGCATGAGGCCCTGGCTTCCATCCCCAGCACCAGGGAAAAAAAATAATTTTTTTAAAAAATAAAAGGAGAAGGTAAGGCAATCCAGGAATTACTGCCCTGTTTAGTTTTCTGTTGGCTGTTCGTTTGCGTTGTGTAAAACCCTCCATATAAAAATTTCTAACTTGTGAGCACAGACCTAGGCAACAGCTTTCTCAAAAGAATGAATATGATTGATGCTGTTTGCCCATGGTGATTGGAGTGCCTGGGGCAGACTGGGATATAGTTTTTATTGTTATTTCTTTTTAGTGTTTTATTTGACTGTCAAAGATTGACTCAGCCACCTTAATCCACCAGAAAGGGAAAACCAACAAAGCCAAATAGTTCCAGATGGCAATTTTGGGCTCATAACTCAGGTGGTATCAGTAATAGCATGCTAACAGCAATTCCAACTGGTGGGTCTGTCATCCTTAATGCACTGTGTTTACTAGATAGAAAATCCAGAGGTTGGGGGAGTGGCTCCAGGATAAAGGCTTGCCTAGCCTAGCATCCATGCGGCCCTGGATTCCATGCTCAGCTCCACAAACAAAGAAAGTCTATAAACACAAAGTACATCTGTCATAACTGTAGCCTGAAGTATTTCTGTTTCCCTTCAAGGATCCCAATTATGACCAATTCTGTCTCATGGAATCAATCCATCAATTCTTCACCATGTTTCTTTAACCCATCTTGTCACCTAAAAATGAAACTTCCTTCAAAATATTTAAATAGTAGGAATGGAAAAGAAAACAGAGCTCTTGTAGCCATTTCCAGATATCTTTCTTCAAAGTTTTCTGACTTCAAAATTCAACATTATACTTTGGTATAAAAAAAGTAGCTTGGATAGCGTATTGTTTCTCTTTGGTCTCCTGTGTGTGTGTGTGTGTGTGTGTGTGTATGTGGTGCGCATGTATGTTTGTGTGCACACACTGATTCATATTGGGTAGAAGAAAGTTTTAGATTCACACTTTCAGAAAGCCTAATTTTACTTGGACATTACAAATCATTAGTTAAAACTGCATGGCTTGGGCTGGGGATGTGGCTCAAGCGGTAGTGCGCTCGCCTGGCATGCGTGCGGCCCGGGTTCGATCCTCAGCACCACATAAAAACAAAGATGTTGTGTCCGCTGAAAAACTAAAAAATAAATATTAAAAATTCTCTCTCTCTCTCTCAAAAAATAAATAAATAAATAAAACTCCATGGCTTTCAGTGTAGTGATTTCCAAACTTATTTCCTTAACCCAAATATCTTTTTTTTCCCCACTAAAACAAAGCTTAACAAGGAAACCCTAAGACAGAGGTGTATGTTAGCAAAAATGTACTTCTTTAGTCATAATTTGAATTTTATGAAAAATAAACATTGTAATCAATTAGAATTATAAGGACACCTCAGTTAATTCAAAACTTTCAAACTGAAATCTGAGCTGAAAGTTACCATCATGTACCAACTTGAACAATTAACACTTTCTTTGCTTTGACTTGATGGTGTCACATCTAACTTCAATGGCCACAGAGCTGACGTGCAGTAGCCTTTAAGTAATTCTCCTCTGCCATCACTGTATGGTGATCCCTTAAAGATGACAGGAGAAAGTTATTCTGAGCTCCACATTCAAATCAGTTCAGTTATTAGGTTAACTCAAGTTAATATGTGGGCAGGCTAGTATTTGGTAGTCAACACATTTGAAGTATTCAATTTAATCACGGATTCTACTGTGAGTTTTGGAATGGAATTTGAATTATTTATTAGATGCCTGAAGCATCACATCAGGGTTCCACAGAGCACAGTTTGACAATCACAGTGCTATGTGAACAGGATAAATTGGAAAAGCCGGTACTGGTTCTTTGGCTTTTTGCCCTACATGCCCCCAGTGAGCTGGACAGAGAAGTGCACCTGTAATCTAAAGAGCTCATGTCATAGCATTCATCACCTCACAGCAAAAGTATCAAAGGGTTTAAAGTGACAATTTATCACTATTCAAAATGCCATTCAGCCCAATTGGGAACCAGTTATAAAAAACACAGGCTACAGGGCTTAATAATTAAAGGAAGGGCATCATTCAAATATTAAAAGGATGGGGGGCTGACGAAATGGAAGAGTCATCATGGGCTATTGTAACACGCCCTCTGCCCCTCAGTGTTTGATAAAGGATTGACCATGGAGTTCTGGTGTGCCACACCACTCCTGCCCTGGCCTGTGGAGCGTAAGTTACCTTCTGACAGCATGCTGAGGGCCTCATCAGAAGTGTGTCCCCCAACTGGAGCCACCTTCCTGCAAGTGAGGTTTTCAGGACGCACGCAAGAGCCCACCACCTCGGCTGCTGAAGTCGTCATGGATTCCCACTGGATCACCATCTTGGGAGACTGGAGACCCATGCGGCATCCTGTCCAGCCATAGAAGGCCAGAGACAAGAGGAAGCCCTGGGCGGGATTCAGTATCCCCTGGGAGAAAAGGCAAAAAGATGCAGCAGTCAGTGAAGCAGGACAGGAAGTAGAGCCTTCAGTTGCCACATAGTGCCAAGCTCCACTCAAGCGCCCACTGGGCTGCCCTCACTCGGAACAAGTGGGTTGTTTGGTTTGGGGCAAGACTAAGATTGGCCGTAGTAGGTTCTGCATCTCCAAGGGCTGCCTGAAAATAGAGGAAGTGGGGAGAGTGCAAGGGAGAGAAGAGAAAGGATGGGTGGGGGTCAGAGAAAGAGAAGGGGAGGATGAAGAGGACCAGGAGGAGAGGAGAGGAAGGGGAAGGAAAGTGGGGGAGAGGAAATGCAAGCAAGGAAGGTGATAGAACCAGCCATCTTGGACCTCTGCTCCCCTGTGGCTTTCCACCTGGTGCTGCCAGGTCAGAATTTGATTCAGTCAAGGTTCTTGGGGTAACATTACTCCATAGAGCTAGCCAGAGGAGCCATGTGAAGCTCTCAGCCAAAACACACAGATCAAGAGGGCTCGTGTGGGCTTATGAAAGTCATCTCAAGTGACACTTTTCCAAATTCAGAACAACATAAATAACAATTTTGCATGGCTCAGAGCATACCTCTCTGCCAACAGCTCCTAATACACATGAAATGTGATGAAAATACAGGGGGGGGGGTGTCCAGTATTTTTATACATGTTTTTATGTAATAGTAATTAATCTCAATTTTATAGGCTACATTTTCCAGTTAATACAGAGACTTCATAATCATCGTTTTTAACTTCTGGGTCACATTCAACAAGATGAAAGCCAAGGGCTGGGATATAGCTTGGTGGTAGAGTGTATACTGAGCAGATACCAGGCCCTGAGTTTAATCCCTGGCACCCCAATTTTAATTAAAAAGGAAAAAGAAAAAAACAAAATATGAAAGACCATAATTTACTTTGACATTTGGGTTTCCAATAATGCTTTAGAATTTTATATAATGCTGAGCCAGGCCTGGTGACATGTGCCTATTATCCCAGCTACTAGGGAGGCTGAGGCAGGAGGATCACAAGTTTGAAATCAGCCTGGAAAACTTAGCAAGACCCTGTCTCAAAATGTGAAAAACAGAAAGGACCAGTGGTACAGTGCTTGCCTAGCATGCACTCTGTAATTGATCCCCAGGATTAACAACAACAACAACAAAAAGATGATAAAAGTGCTGTACTACTGAGTTATACCCCTGACTCTCTATCTTTTTAATGATAATCACTACAATGAATGAAATTTTCTCAGAAGTTCACTAAGCCAAATGTAGGTAGTCCAAGAACCTACTTGCCTCGTTGTATATTTATATAAATAAACATCATACTTCTGATTGTTCTTTTTTCCTTCCAATTTTTTTTTTTCAAGAAGAAACTTAAATCTAGATTAGCTTACCATAATGAACCACGTGGTCTTGGCTGCATCTCTGACACGTTTCAAAGAGCCTGCATTGATATCTGGTTGCATTTCAAGGTAGAATAAAAGGCTTTCATTGATTATATTGGACAGCCAACTGTTAAAAAGACAATGGCCCACAGGTGAAGAGAACATGCCACAAAAATTCATTTTAAATGCTAAGGATCAGGGACTGATCTTTGCCACACTGTGTATGTGCCAATTCTAGGTAGAGAGCTGATCACTTCCACAGCAAGCAACTGAACCAGCACACCAAGAATTTATTTAAGGAAATGTAATTCCTTCTCTCAGTCTAACACAGAGATCCACAAATCCTTCCCATGTTAACACTCAACACCACATCAACATGTAAGGTATCAAATAACCCAGAATTCAGTCTTGGTTTGAGGAGCAACCTGAAGATTTTAAGATGAAGAATTTACTTTGACATTTCACACTGAAATTTTAAAATGTTACTCTTGGGGGGTCAGTGAAGTTTGAAACAGTGATCTAAGTGTATTTTTACTGGGAGGTAATTTCTGCCTCTCCTAGGAGCATGTCCAAACAAATCCCTTCATATCAGGTAGATTATTAACACCACAAGGCTTGCTCTGAGAAAGTATTTATTCACCACATTACAGGGTGTTACCATTCCAATTTTTTTTTTTTTTTTTTGTGGTACTGGGGATTGAACCCAGGGCCTTGTGCATGCAAGGCTCCATTTTTTTTTTTTTTTTTTTTGCATTGGTTATAAGTCTATTTTCAAAGCATCCATCTGAAACATTTGGGTAGGATACCAGACATGGAGAATCTCAGCAAAAGAAATTTGCTAAGCCTTTCTATCCAGCTTTGACTGAGCTGAATCTTTACACTGGAGATGTGTCCTCACCCCTCTATCGCACACAGGAATTCTGGTGTCAAAAACAAGGCCAATGGGTGCATTTAAAACGCATGGGGCTGGAGATATAGCTCAGTTGGTAGAATGCTTGACTCACACGCACGTGGCCCAGGGTTAAATTCCTAGCACCACAAACAAACAAACGTTACCACCTCCCTCATTTTGGTTAATCCCAGAATCCCAGTAAGGGGTTACGCATAGTTGTTTCAAAATTAAACTCGGAACCTCTTATTCTTGGGGCTTTATGCCTAAATCAAGTAAATATTTTCAGTTTTTGCCACAAATTCAGAATTCCAGACTTGCTCAGAGATGTCCCTTCCACATGCTTCCCTTAAGAACTCACAGGTCACAAATGGAAGAGAAAAATGGTAAGTGGTTTGCAAATCCCATCCCACTGGCAATTAAAAAAAAAATAGTTACCAAGCGATTAAAACCAGCATTATTTTGAAAAACCGGATCTTGATCACAGCTCCCATTCGCCTCTCGTTCTCTGTGTAAATGCCCTGTCTTCCTTTCAGTAAAGAGGCCACTGTGAAGAGCACAGGGGAATGACATACTTACTGTGTTCATCATTCTTATTTATTTCATAACAGAGAAGGGCATCAAAGCAGGTGTGAGCCCATAAACAAGGCCAGAAGATCTAAAGCGAAGCAAGTTATTGACGTCACCCTCCCAGCTACCCATGTGAAGTCCTTATAGGATCCAAGGAATATGTATTTTAAATAACTTGAGATTTACTGTATGCCCATTCCCTTTAGTCAGCTTCCTCTGATGTTAACATCAAACACAACACAGGATACTTGTCACAACTAAGAAAATAACACTGATACATTAGGAACTAAACTTCCAATTTTATTGGATTTTACTAGTTCAGGTATTTTTTTTCTTTTTTATAAAATAAGGCACTTATTATTTTAAAATGTTGAAAATTTAACATTTCTTCTTAGAAACAGATTAGAACACCTACAAAAAAGTTTGGAGAATAATTAAATAGAGCTGGGTGCAGAGGCACAGACCTGAAATCCCAGAGACTCAAGAGGCTGAGACAGGAGGATTGCAAGTTTGAAGCTAGGCTCAGCAACTTACTGAGGCACTAAGCAATTTAGTAAGAGTCTGCCTCAAAAAAATATAAAAATGAAAAGGACTGGGGATGTGGTTCAGTGACTAAATGTTTCTGGATTCAATCCCTAGTGCAAAGTGTGTGTGTGTGTGTGTGTATTTTTAATTAATGGCTGAAGGTTTAGCTTAGGGGTAGAATACTTGCCTAGCATGTGCTAGGCCCTGGGTTCAGTCCGTAGCACCACTAAAAAAAAAAAAAAAAAGAATCGTCAGTGGTCCCTCCCACAAAGACAACCACTGCTACCACTGCCGTATATTTCGTTTTTGTTCTTGTTTTGCAGGACTGATAAGTGAACCCAGGGTCTCATGCATCCTAGGTAAGCACTCTACCACTGGGCTTCCACCTGTAACCCCCACAGTGTATTTCTTTTCAATGGTTTTTAAGTCATTTTTTTTGTGTTCCATATAAGCAAGTCATTATACAATTTTGAAAAAATAAATTCTCTTATTTAATGCACTATATTTAAACGCACATAGGAAAAGACTCTTCCAAAGAATAAAAGATGTTATTAAAAAGTGACACAATCAGGAGCTTCCCCCTTTCGTTAAGGTGGACTTCCTCACTCCAACTCTGCCCTTGAGAGATCCAAGGCAGCCTGAGTAGGTGGGCACTCTCTCCAGGTCACGCTTTCTTGAGGAGGACGACAGGGCCGGAACGCAGGTTCCCAGTCCTGGCCCAGGGTCTCTCTGGGGACTCGCTACATTCCGCTTATCTAGTTTTTACCCCATCCCAAATGACTCATTTCCTGTGCTCCACTTCCTGTTTCCTGCCTGTCTGAGAACTGGCATAGGCCAAGTGCATTATGGGAGTGTCTGGACTAGGCCAAGTGCATTATGGGAGTGTCTAGACCTCTCTGTCCATGCCTCATCCCTTCCCGGATCCACTTCACTCTCCTGCTCCTGTCTCACCTCTGCAGTTTTCCAAGGCCACCTTCAGAGCCTACAAGCGTGCCAAGGGCAGACCCAGGATGAGCTTCACACAAAAGTGAAAAACCAGCTAGTCCTGGCCTTAAGCTAACAAACATTGGCAAACATGTAGTGCTCAACTAAGTATGCTTTCTGCTCAGTTTTTCTTACTAAACCTGTTCACTGTCTCCATCTGTATTCTGCTTATGTCTCTGGAGGATGATGAGTGAGGTCCATTGTCCTGGATCATTCCAGAAGGACAACATGTTATCATCTCAGCCCAAGAGATGCAGCTATACCCCATGGCCTTGTACCCAGAGAACTTCCCTGCTACTTACCTGCTGTCACTGTCTTTTGGAACAAGACAGGGTTAGCTACCAGAACGAGCAGTAGTGGCAGGTACGTGGTGATATAGTGTGGGATGGCATGGTCAAGGCCTCTCTCACACCTGAGGGAGGAACAGCAAATCATTCTTCTTGAAAGAAAAGCTTTGGCTGGAATATACCCACTTATCTGCAGGCTGAGATAAGAGGATAAGAACAAAAAAAGAAATGCATAAATCTGCCCAGACTCTGAAAGAAATCAGACTCGTTTCTCATGTCCAAGAAGAAGCAATAAATTTCAGGAGACTCGGGGAGATTGTTCATGTTTCTGTCCTATAAATAGGAGAGCCTCTGAACCTTTCCAGTGGGGACAGCTTTTAAAGAGCACTACTGGCCCAGGCATGGTGACACAGGCCTGTAATCCCAGCAACTCAAGAGGCTGGGGCTGGGGGATTGCAAGCTTAAGGCTGGCCTCAGCAACTTTGTGAGAACCTAAGCAACTTATGGAGACCCTGTCTCAAAACAAAAAAATAAAAAGGGTTGGGGATGTGGTTAAGTGCCCCTGGGTTCGATACTCAGTACAAAAACAAACAAACAAACAAAAAACCCTACTGGAAGAGGTAAGAAAGGAAAAGAAATCTGGGATGGTAGATGATTCTTTGCACTAGGTCTCTTCAAAGGGAAAACACACAATTTAGAGACAAAAGCACTAATTAGCTAGTTAGGTTTTGAGTACTTACTACATAATCTCAGCTAATAACATGAAAAAAATCCAGTCCTTGTCCTTGATCTGTTCAAATGTATGACCTTCGTATGTCAAAGGAAATTCCTTCTCACATTAGGAGTAACAACCAACTCTTCAGTGGTTCTTTTCAGGGAAAAGGACTAGGATTTCTACTGATGAGTCATAAGCATCATGAGTCACCATGGGACATGGTGGTAAGAGGAGGTGGTGAAAGCCATTGATATGTTACCAATAGGGACCATCAACTAAGATACACAGAAAGTCAATGAGAGAAAAATGGCACAGAGGAAATGATAAATGAAGAAAGGGGACAGAGGATGCCTGAGGCCCAATCAGAGAGAGGCAGAAGTGTCCCTGTGGCCATGGAAGTTACCATCATAAAAATGAAAATGCTCTTAATACTTAACATTAATATTTGTGTGGTGGTCAAACACCTTACCAGGCTCCACATGGTGTGGACAGACTCTAGGGAAGTATGGGAAGCAGGAGAGGAGTGGGAGTGGCAGATTCCATTGCAAAGATGGAAATCAAATGGCCAATGAGAGAGTGAGGATGTGGCTACAAGAATGACAAGAGGTCTGCACTGCAGGATGTGCGGATTAAGAGATGATGATCTCTTAATGATGATTAAGGTGTCACACACCTGTGATCCCAGCCACTTGGGAGGCTGAGGCAGGAGGATTGCAAGTTCAAGGCTAGCCTCAGCAACATAGCAAGATCTTGCCTCAAAATTTAAAAAATGAAAAAGACTGGGGATATAGCTCAGTGGTAAAGCATTCCTGGGTTCTATCCCGGGTACTCCCCGCAGCCCCCTAAAAAAGAAGAGAGATCGCCATTTACAGATTAAGACGCTTAGATCAGGTGGCCTCCTGGAGCCCATAGGAGCACCTCAGGGTTCCCTGTGAGCCAGCCCTGTAGCAGTGGTGCCCTCAGGCTCCAAGGTAATTTTTCTAGAAGTCACCAGGGTCTCACAGGTGAAGGCAAGTAAAAGAAACTCCCTTTCCTATTAAGATCCTTCTGTTAGAACAGCTGTGACACTGTGTCTGTCCTTTTGAAGTTCCCCGTGAAAAGTGACCATGCCAGGCTTCCACACATTCTGGACAGACTCTAGGGGAATCGGGAAGCAGGAGAGAGCTAGCTAGCTCTCTGTCAATATCCACAGTTGACAAGGCAACACCGATTTGAGATGTCTGAGTAGCTGTGAGAAGTCAAAAAACTGGGGAGGAATGACTAACACCATGAGTCAACAAATTTTTTATATAAAGAGAGATAATAAAGCCAGGTGGGGTGGCACATGCCTATAATTCCAGCTACTTGGAGGCTGAGGCTGGCAAGTTTGAGGCCATACTCAGCAACTTGGCAAGACCCTGACTCAAAAAAGGGCTGGAAATGTAGCTCAGTGGTAGAGTCCCCATGGAATCAATCCCCAGTACCACAGGAAAAAAAAAATATTTCTTTTTCTTCAGTTTCATAGGGCACACCATGGTCTCTTGCAACTACTCAATTCTGATTATATCACAAAAGCAGTCACAGTTGGAACATAAATAAATGGGTGTGGCTGTGTCCCAGTAAAATTTCATTTAAAATAACCAGCCAGACGTGATTGCACAAACCTGTAATCCCAGTGAACCAGGAGGCTGAGATAGGAGGATGGCAAGTTTGAAGCCAGCCTCCTCAATTTAATGAGAGTCTGTCTCAAAACAAAAAAATAAAAAGGGCTGGGAAGGTAGTTCCAGGGACAATGCACTACTGGATTCAATCCCCAGTACCCCAAATTAAAATATAATAAAATGAAAACAGGTCAAGGGCCAGATTTGTCCTAAAGGCTATACTATGATGATCTGTGTGTGACCTACAGAACCCTAAAATCACAAAAAGACACTAACCACCTGTTTTCCAGTGGAAGTGAAATCCTACATCCTTGGTTGGGCTTTGAGACCTTGCAAATGATGGCACTGCTGGGATTTTAAATGAGGAAATGCCTGAGACAATTCCAGAACCACATTCCTCTGCATCTGTGTTCAGGGTAGCCAAGAGCATAGGATGGGAGAGGCATAGAGCCAGCTTCCAGAAGCTTCCCTTGCCTCGGCCACATCACTTCTAACTCATCCTCAGAACGTTAAACTCGCCTGATCTTTCAGTATTAAAGAACAGGTGTGAGGAAGCTATGGCAAGATGGAAGGGGCTGTCCCTGCATCTTTCTAGTTACGAGGAGGGGTATAATCTGCGCATGCACGCTGTATGCTCAGGCACCCACCCACCCAAATGAGAAAGACAGACCCAGGGGAAAGATCTGGGGAGCAAGGATGCAGTGAGCACACCGTCTCTCAGCTAGATGGGTCTGTGACTGTGGCCTCTCGGGGCCAAGAGGAGGGGCTGAGCGCCAAGGCACCCACTGTGTGAGTCAGACCGGCTCATTTTCTATAAGAACTGGGCCACTGAGGCTTACCTGGACACAGAGGGGTAGTACAGCATGACAGCTCCCTCTGCACAGAGCAGGAGGGCCAGGCCCCAGGCCATGATGTGGTACAACACGATGGTGCTAGGAGAGAAGCAGAACAGGGTGGCACTGCTCAGAGGAGGACAAAGGGGCCTGGCAAAGAAACTACCAGACTAGCCACCAGGCCAGCTTCTGAACCAGGAAAGGTAGGAGCAAAACCACCCTCCACAGAGGTATAGTGCTGCCAAGGGCACCAATGTGTGTGCTTATTTTTCAGTTGAGGTGAAATTGACATAATATAACATCAACTATTTAAAGAGAACAACCCAGGGACACTTAGGAAATTCACAATGTGGTTCAATTGTTCTAGAACATTTTATCAGACCCAGAAGGGAACCTCGTTCCCATTAGCAGTCACTCCCCATTCCCTCCAGCCCACAGTCCCTGACAGTCACCGATCTGCTTTGCTTTTATGAATCCAGCTATTGTAGACATGTCACAGCTTCATTTCTTTTTATGACTGAATAATATGAATAGACCACATTTTGTTTATCCATTCATCCATCAGTGGATGTTCTGGTTGAATACTGCTACTCCGAACATGCACATAAAACTATTTGAGTTCCTATTTTCAATTCTCTGGGGTTGTATACCTAGAAGTGGAATTGCTGAGTTATGTGGTATTTTTGTGTTTATGTTTTTCTTTTTTTTTTTTTTTCCTTTCTTTCTTGTCTTTCTTTCCCAGTGCGTGGGATGGATCCCAGGGCCTTGCACATGCCAGCCACGTGCTCTACCATTGAGCTACACGCCCAGCCTCTCTCTGCTTAATTTTATCAGAAACCAGAGTCTCCACATCTTTGCCAACAGTTTTTGTTTTCCACTTTTTTTTTTAATAGGATCTCACCATTTGCTCTGGCTGGCACCAAACTCTGGGGCTCAAAACAGTTCTCCTGCCTCAGACTCCTGAGTAGCTTGGACTACAGATGTACATCACCTTGCCTGGCTTCAAGTTTGGTTGTTGCTGTTCTCATGGGAATGGCTGCTATTTTTGAGACTTGGCTAAGTTGGCCCCACTCTCCATAAAATCATAGAATAGGTTAAGTCCATCTATAGTACCCTTCAGGGACAGTACTGTTCAGTTCTCATCAGCTCTGGTCTGAATACTTGGATCCCCACAAAATTCCTGGGTTGAAATCCTAACTCCAAAGGTGTGGCATTATAAAGTGGGGTCTTTGGAGAACTAATGAAGTCACAAGAGTAGAGACTTTATGGATAGGATTATTGCCTTTTATGAAGGAGGCCCAGGAGCTCCCTGCCCCCTCCACCATGTGAGGACAGTGAGAAGTGGCCATCTATGAACCAGGAAGAACATGTACCAAACATTGACTCTGCCATACCTTGACCTTGGACTTCCAGCCTCCAGGACTATAAGAAATATTCTGTGTGTGTATGTGTGTGTGTGTGTGTAGGAATGCCAGAGACTGAACCCAGGGGCACTCTATCTCTGAGCTACATCCACAGACCTTTTTATTTTTGAGACAGGGACTTATTAAATTGCCAAAGTTGGCTTCAAACTTATGATTCTCCTGCCTCAGTCTCCTGAGTCACTTGGAGTTATAGATCTGTGCCACCATACCTGGCTTAAGAAATGCGTCTCTACTGTTTGTAAGTCACTTTGTGGCATTTTGTTATAGCAGCCCAGATAGACTGAGACATTATATTGACCAATCTTCTATTACTATAACAAATATCTGAGATAATGAATTTATAAAGAAGAAAGATTGCATGGCATGGTGGCTTATGTCTTTAATCCTAGATACTGAAGAGGTGAAGGCAGGAATATCTCAATTTTGAGGCCAGCCTGGGCGACTTAGCCAGACCCTGTCTCAAAAGTAAAAATAATAAAAAGGCTTGGGAATGTGGCTCAGTAGTAGAGGACCTCTGGGTTCAATGCCCAGTACTGGACCAAAGAAATTAGAGAGAGGTTTTATTTTGGCTCACAGTTTTAGAGTTTTCAGCCTGTGATTGGTTGTGCTTGTTGCTTTGAGCATATCATGGTAGGAGCAGGGTAGAGTAAAGCCACTTATTTCTTGGTCAAGAAGCAAAAGAGAGAAAGAGGAAGGTGATAGGATCCCACTGTCTCCTTCAAGGGCATGACCCCAGTGACCTAAAGACCTGCCAGTAGGCCCCACCTCTTAGATTTCCACCACCTCCCAATAGTGCCAAGCTGTGGGTCAAGCCTTGGGATACCCGGGCCTTTGGGTGACAATTAAGATCCAAGCTATAACATCCACCATCTCAGGGGCATGGTACACAAGCCTTGTCCTCCCAATCCTCCATCCCTAACAACCTCCCCTCTTATTCACCCTGTACCCCGACTCCAGGGAGAGACCTGAGGTTGTACAGGTCCCTGAGGTTGTCCCATCCCTGAATCCAAACATCCAGGTGACTACTAATAGCATTTCCTTAGCAAAACCCACTACTCAGAGCCTTGGGTGGCTTTTCCCGGTCATGTGAACAATATAGCCCTCTGTGGCTTGCCCTTGCCACTGTGGTAAAGGCCAGGTGGACCTCAGGCCATGTTGTTCCCTGACACTTACACTATTGCCCAAGGCAGGCTGGCCATCCCTGGTCCTCCACCCACTCTTCCCATCAGACTGGCCTTGGCCTGCATGCCCACCTGTCTTGAGGCACTGTAAGGGGCACAGTAAGTTTAAGAGCAGTAAGGAGACCCCAGAAATTGACCAGCATCCTACTAACAGTGAAACTCAAGAAACACAGCCACTCTTGAATCTTCATTTGACTGCAACTTTTTTTTTTTTTTTTTGGTACTGGGGATTAAACCCAGGGGTACTTAACCACTGAACCACACCCCAGTCCCTTTTATTGTTTATTTTGAGACAGGGTCTTCCTAAGTTGCTCAGGCTAGCCTCGAACTTAAAATCCTCCTGCCTCAGCCTTCTGCAATGCAATATTCTGTAGAGAACAGGAATGGCCAGTGATAGCATAAGCTTCGTTTACTCTTAAGCTGTATGATAGATATCAGGTATGTGCAAAGGGAAGGTCCACTTAGGAAGGTCCACTTAAAAGGAATGAGGTGCTGATATCTGCTACAATATCGATGAACTTTGCAGACATTGTATCAAGTGAAATAAGCCAGACACAAAAAGGCCACAGAGTGCCTGATTCCCTTTATGTGGGGAATGATGGATAATGGGTACAGAGTTTCTTATGGTGGTGGTAGAAATGTTCTGGAATTAGTAGTTGTACTGATTGATGTATTATTTTTGTGAATGTCTTAAAAGCCACTGACTTAGGGGCTGGCGCTGTAATTCAGTGGCAGAGCACTTGCCTTGCATGCATGAGGCCCTGGGTTCGATCCTCAGCACCACATAAAAATAAATAAAATAAAGGCATTCTGTCAATCTGCAACTACAAAAAATAAAACAGAAAAAGAAAAAGAAAAGCCACTGACCTGCACATTTTTAAAGGATGATTATTTTGGTATGACAATTACATGTCAATTAAAAGAGTATCATGGAGATTGGGTTTGTGTCTCAGTGTAGAGTGCTCGCCTAGCATGTGAGAGGCACTGGGTTCGATCCTCAGCTCCACATAAAAATAAATAAAGGTATTTTGTCCATCTACAACTAAAAAAATATTTTAAAAAAAAGAGTATCTTGGAGTTTCATCAAGATGATGTCTCACTCAACATTCACTGGCTAAGTGTTCCCTGAGTGTCTAGAGAGGCACAGAAAGTGCTAAGAATGAAACAAAGTTTCTCCACAGCCCTGACGTGGAAGCTAGGCACAGAGGCTGGGATGCAGAAGAGTTTACATAAAATGAAGGTTGGACCCAAGAGACAAAACTATGTTTATAAGTTAAGGTGCCAACACTTACGTTAGCTGGGGCAGGGGTCCTCAAAAATATCTCTATCCTAATCTTCAGCATCTATGATAGTGTTGCTATATATGGCAAGACACTTTGCAGATGTGATTAAATGAAGGACTTTTGAGATGGGAAGATTATCCTAGATATAGGCGTCCTGGATAAATAACCACATGAATCCATAAAGGCAGAGAATCTCGGGCTAGGGGTGCAGCTCAGCAGTAGACTACTTGCTAGCATGTGTGAGGCCCTGGGTTCTATCCCCAGGATCATAGGAAGCAAAAAAGGCAGATAATCTTTACCATCTGCAAAGAACTAGAGAGATGGGAGTTTAGAGTCTTATTCACCATTACTGGCTTTGAAGATGGCAGATGTAGCCACAGGCTAAGGAAGCTGGGAGGTCAGTGTGACTGGAACAGAGACTGTGAATGAGAGAATGGACAGAGGGTGTCCACAGGACTGTGTCAGTTTTATTCTAAGTATGATAAGAATCCACCAGAAGATTCTTTTCATTTTTTCTAAAAATATATGTATTGCAACAAGATAAAACTTAAAAAGCGGAATCTTAGAGGCAGGATGTTGCTCAGTGGTAGCAGGCATGAGACAGAGTTTCATTCCCAGCATTGCCAAAAAAAAAAAAAAAAAAAAAAAAAGGTGAACATGGAAAACAAAACAAGACTCAGTAAAGAATGGAGGGTAGTTTTGGGAAAAAATTATCCAATCCCTGTGACTCCAAAGTTTCTGGGGGAGATGATAGAAAGTGAGGTCAAGGGACTATTCTTGGTTGTGTCTGGTTTCTCTTTACTGAATCTCAGACCTGTGAGTGAGTCCAACTGGATCTGGAGCAACCCTGACCTGAATCTGTGGTTCCCCAGATGATGGACATGAATGCCTTGGCTCCCGCTGAGCTGGGTTGGCCCCCTTATCTCCACTGTGAGACCAATGCCCCATCGGATAAACAAGGACCTTCTCCTCCCATCCTTCTTGAAGGAATTCCTAATATCCAAGGAGACAGGCTGACGCTCAGTCCAGACCAGGAAGGGTATGTGTCCAGCAATTGGTGGTATTAGATATTCCACGAGCATGAGGCTCCCTTTCTTGTCCCACCTCTGCACTCCCCATTCCCTGCATGGTTAGCATTCTTGGACAATCTCTATCATTCATCTTTGTACTTCAACACACCCCACCCTGTTCCCCCAGAGGATTTGAGGCTGTGGCCATCCAGATGCTGTGGGGTAGGCTTCAGTTTATTAAAGTCTTCTCTCTGAGGGGATGGGGAGGGCAGGGCCCCATCAGTCGGGTACACTGGCAGTCCCTCTTAACTCTATTGGGTGCCTGGTAAATAGCATTAAATAGTGGAATTTTCACTCTAAAGATCAGCTGTGTAGACGAAAGGAGTGGTGGTCAGAGATCAGAATGGGAAACGATGCCCTTCTCCAAAGAGATGAGAAGGGAGAGAAACAGGCTCACAAAGGGAATGAACTTCCGGAAGAGAGAAAACATTTTGTAGCCAGCTGTCTGGGAGGCCATAAGGAAATGACTCCTTCATAGTTTGCCTCCCACATCGTAACCAGTTCCTGCAGCCGCCCTCCCCTGGCTTCACTGGGAGCATGTGGGGGTGTATCTCAGCAGTGCAGGTTTTGTCTCTGGCTCACGGGAGATTTGGCGAGCCCACAGAGACAGCAGCTCTCTGCAAGGGCTGGATGAGTGGAGTGCAGAATTTCTTCACTCCAGACCCTCTTCTTGGCTGGACAGTGCTGATGGCATCTTCAGAGTGGGGAGTGGGGAGTGGGTCTCTGGTCAGACTAAGGAAGTCCAAGGTCAGAGGACATGGAAGACTGGTTAATGACTCTTGCCCATCCTGCAAGACAGCAGTCAGGTCTGGGCCAGCAGGAGCAGGTGGCTCCCACATTAATGGCTGATGCCACTGAAACCCACCCCAGAGGGTGAGTGCCCAACCCAGGGGAGCCCAGGAGTAGCCAGGTCACAGCTGAAGACCCTTGCTCTCTTATCCAACCACTGAATTGTTCCAAGTCCAGGCGAGTGTAAATCCTCCTTGGCCATTATTTCATATCACTCTTTTATTTTCTTAGAGCAAGCAGAGACTTCAGTTCATGGCCATTTCCAAGATCGCAAGTACCACACTGTCTGTTATTATTTAAAACTGGTATGTTTCACACCTGCAGCCAGAATTAACCACTTAAATTTCCACTTGAAATCTGTCTTAATGATGTTTCTGAGGATTAAAATTAAAAGAACTCCCCAGCCAAAGAAAACAGGTACAGGTACGTAAGACAGGATCTCCAAGGCAAAGGGCCATACCTGCAAAGTTTGGCCCCTGCCCTGGAATTCAGCAGGACACCCCCTGCCCAACCAGCTGCAGTCTCCTAATAGCCATCTTCAGGACCAACTCTACCTGCTGCCCTGGAAAACAAGCTGGCTCTTAAAATGCAGCTACCGAAGCTTTGGAACCCAAACCCTCAGCCCTGGTGAAGTGCATCTAGCAGAGTCCCCTGGGACATCTCCCACCAGGCATCAGGTGAGGCTTTGTGCTCATGGCTACGGAGCACCTCTTACTTATCTGTTGTGTGCCCTGCTCCTGACTGATTAGGGAGCTCATTTCACTCCCGACCATCAGTCATCTGAGGAGCGGAAACCTGCCCTTGCTCTTGCCCTTGGAAGGCATGGTGTTTCATGTTCTGGGATGTTCACCTTCTGCATAAGGACGGGTCCTTGGAAGCCTAACCAGCATCCAGAGTCCCGCCTTCTTGAACACTGAGTTCCAAGATGAATTTCCAAATACATGCCTGTGCCAAAGAGGGCTTCTTGATTGCCTGCCCTGAGAGTCCAGACAGTTCTCACACTGTTCCTTCTAACCCAGTCCTGTGTCCCCCACCTGCCCTACCATGGGTGGGGTGAAGTAATGCTCCTCTAATGACAGTGGGGGGCATGCTCTTCACCCGGCTTCCTTCCAGAACTCCCAGGCTCCTCTGATCTCTGTTACTGGCTGTCAGTGAGACCTTCAGTTGTGTCATAGCTCTGACTCCCCAAAACTGACGAGAGAGGCTCTCAGAAGGAACACAGCAATTGTACCAACTTTAGGGATTAGGCCTTCTCCTGCTGCTAGTTGCCTATAGGTACCCATTCTCCCTCTTTTCCTTATAACATAACCCAGAAGTTAGACAGAGGAGCAGCATAGTAGGCTAACAGACTATTTCCTATGTCCTCTAGCAACTAAGCACAACCAAGAAACTAAGTTCTGGCTAATACTATGCAAGTGGCATTGTGTGAAACTCTCAGGGAGGCCTTTTAAAGCTGGCTCGGGAGAAAACAGGCCCCTTATGTTCACTGATACACTTAGTTTGTTGGGGTCAATCCCCAGCACTGAAAACACACTAAATGGATCAACAAAATGTAGTATTTTGGAATATTATTCAGTTATGAAAAGGAATTATCTTAGTCTTTTCTGGCTGTCATGATAGAATACCAGAGGCTGGGTGGCTTATAAAAAACAGACATTGAATGCTCAAGGCTCTGGAGACTGCAGCCCAAGGTCTAGGTGTGGCAGACACAGGGTCTACTGAGGACTGCTTCCTGGTTCAGAGACGACACCTTCTCACTGGGTCCTCACAGGTGGAAGAGGCTGGGAGCTCTGGGGTGGGGGTTCTCTTATAAGAACACTCAATCCATTCATGAGCCTCCACCTTCATGACCTCATTGCCTCCCAAGGCCCTACTTCCTAACACCATTAGCTAGGGGTGAGAATTTCAAAATCAAACTTGTTGGATGGGGAGGACATAAGCACTCAGACCACAACAGGAATGAAGTACTAATACATACTACAACATAGATAAACCTGCAATATGTTATGCTGAACTTAAGAGCTCATATAGGAAATGTCCTATATTGCATTATTTCATTGATCTACAATGGCCAGAATAGGCATATCCATAGAGTCTAAAAATTTTGGTTGCCAGGGTGGAGGAAGGTGGGGAGAGATTGGGGAATGACTAATAACTGGTACAGGGATTGGGGGAGATGATTACAAAGTTGTAAAGTGGATGATATCAATGGTGCCCAGTGGTATACAACTGTGATCCCAGCTATTCTGGAGGCTGAGGCAGGGGAATCACAAGTTTAATGCCAGCCTGGGCAACTTGGTGAGACCCTGTCTCAAAATAATAAAATAGGGTTGGAGTATATAGCTAAGTGGTAGAGCACTGCTGGATTCAATCCCCAGTATTACTAAAAAAAAAAAAAAAAAATCTATCGACATACTGAAAACCACTTGATTTTACTGTTAAATGTGTGGCTTTAGGGGCTGGGGTTGTAGCTCAGTGGCAGAGCACTTGCCTAACATGTGTGGGGCACTGGGTTCTATTCTCAGCACCGCATATGAACAAATAAACGAACAAATAAATAAAGGTCCATTGACAACTAAAAAAATATTTTTTAAAACGTGTAACTTTATAAACCCATTTTTAAAAAAGACAAAAAGTAAAAGCAAGCAAGGACTTTCTGATTGAAACAGACCAGGAACTGGGCGGGGGAGGGAATAAATGTCTCCTGGACTTAAGAGCTAGGAGACCTGGACACTTGCCCTACTTGGCCACGTCCAACGTCTCTTAGTCAGTTAGGTTCTGGGTGTTGCTACATGGTCAACATCCCAATGACAGTAACAGCTCAGATCCACTGAGCCCCCACCATGTGCCAGGCACTATTCTAATCCATTTACATGTGTGATTGATGTTACTCTTTCCAGTGATCTTATGCAGTGGGTACCAGTTACACAGTGAGTGCCTGAGCAGGAGCTCAAACCTACCTATGCCCAAGGCACCAACCTCTGTGTGAGACCTTGCCAGACAAACACCTCCAGCCCCAGCCCTCATCTGTTCCACTTTTAATATAAGATGTATACAGAAGTAGTTCTTCATACAGTCTTTGATGTACAGTGAAAAATTGTCATACCTGGGCACAGTGGCACACTCCTATAATCCCAGCAACTCGGGAGGCTGAAGCAGGAAGATCACAAGTTCAAGGCCAGCTTCAGTAATTTAGGCCCTAAGCAACTTAATGAGGTCCTAAATAACTCAGCAAGACCCTATCTCAAAATATAAAAATGGCTGGGGATATAGTTCAGTGGTAAAGCACTCCTGGGTTTAATTCCCAGTACCAAAACAAAATTAAAAGAAAATTTTAAAAATTTGTCTAAATTCAGCAGGGCACAGAGACACACACCTGTAATCCCTGCCTCTTGGGGAGGCAGGAGGAAGGCAAGTTCAAGGCTAGCCTGGGAATTTTAAGAAACTTAGCAAGACCCTATCTCAAAATAAATGGGCTGAAGGTATGGCTCAGTAGAAATCCCCTGGTTCAATATCCAGTACCTCCCCACACACAACTTGTTTATATTCACACCGGTTTTTTCTTTCTTTTCATTTTTAACGTGTCCAGTTCCAAATATTTAATTTCTTTTTTTTTTCTTTTGGTGCTGGGGATTAAACCCAGGGCCTTGCACAAGAGTGTGACCTACCATCAAGCACCCCCTCCCCTATCCCTCAAATATTTAATTTCTTGAGTTACTTAGTGTCAAGATTTTAAAAACCTCAGCATTTTAGGTGGTTTTTTGTTTGTTTTTTGCATTGCTGGGGACTGAACCATGAGTACATGTTAGGCAAGCGCTCTACCATTAAGCCATGTTCCCAGCCCTGAAAACTTCAATATTTTGAATTGGCTTCCGGCCTGAGAATGAGCCACCATAGATGTTTCTGGGTGTGGGAGCCAGCTGCCAGACTGACAGACAGTGTCTGCCACTCTGCAACCCACCTTTGAATACTCAATGGCATCTCCTAATATTGCTCATAAAACACAACCAGGCAGACCTCTGTGCCCAGTGGATACCTCAGTCCTGCCGATCTCCTTATCACAAGATAGGCATCAACCGCATAGCAGAAGAGCCACCAGAAACAGGCACTGTACAACAGCTGGATCCACATCTGTAAACAGCAAGAACTCAGCATCAAAGATTCTGGAAACACACAAGGCCTCCAGTTCCTCCGTGAAATGAGATGGCAGATGTGGGCTTCTTCTGACATCAAGGAGAAGCCCACGTGAGCTCAGGGACATATGCAGACAGTCTCTAGGACAGGGGTGGGCTGTGGCCCAAGAAGGACTTGTGCATCTGTCCTCTGCTTAGCAGGATCTGACTAAGGACCCCCACCCCCACCTCGCATTTGGTATGCTTGCAGGCATGAAAGATCAGTGGGGGCTTTGAAGTAGAAGCTCTTTGTGGGCACGTGGCACTTGGAAAGTCCCTTGGAGGAGAAGGGGTGAGAAAGAGGCTGGAGGTATTAACTGCAGCAGGAGAGGTCTGCGCCTCCCTGCTGTGGGCTGAGAGGAGGCCTCATGAGGTGCAGTTAGGAAGCAGAGGGCAGGGAAGAAAAGAAAAAAAGGAACTGCGAATTCTGCTCCAGACCCAGTGATTCAACATCTACATTTGCACAATTTAAGCCCTTCTCGTGAGCACCAATAAAATGAGGTGCAGCATGGTGTGTTTTGTGTGTGTGTGTGTGTGTGTGTGTGTGATCTACTTATTTATTTAATGGTTTATGGATATAAGCCCTGGAGAGTTTGTGACAATACAGCGCTGGCCAGGCCCCACCCCAGGCTTCCTCATCTGTAGATTGGTGCACAGCCTGAGAATCTGCATTCCTCACAGGCTCCCAGAGGTTGCTGCTGCTCACTTTGGGGACCACAGCGCAACAGGCACAGAGGTGGGGAGGAGAGCACGCAGAGAGGGGGCACTCACCGCGCTCCCAACACAGAAAGCAGCAGGCCAAATGTCTGTTCCATTCCCATCAGAGATGTTTTCAACGAAATCTGGGAATCCCAGCCACACTGCCGACCGAAGGATGATCCCTAATAGAGAAGTAGATAAGGGGCTGTGGCTTAGCGGCAGAGTGCCCACCTAGCTCATGCGAGGCTCTGAGTTCAATCCTCAGCACCACATAAAAACAAACAAATAAAATAAAGGTCTTGTGTCCAACTACAACTAAAAAATAAATATTTAAAAAAAGAGAGAGACGTAGATGGACTCTAAGGCATCTGACTCTAATTCACATCTAAAGCTGACTTGTTACTTTGTAAAAATGATAGCTAGTAATGCATGTGAGTGAAACAGGAAGAGAGCAAGAGAGCAAGCAGGAAAGAGGAAGGGAAGGAGAGAAGGAGGAGAAAGAAAGGAAAGAAGGAGGAAAGGGACAGAAAAGAAGGAAGGATGGAGGGAGAGAGGGAAAAACACGTTCACGTGTTCAGAAAAAAGGGAGGAGAAGGAGGAGGAGAAAATGAAGAGGAGGAGGAGGAGGAGGAATGGGAAGGGGAAGGAAGAAGAACTGTTATTCAGAAAACCCATCTTATATTGGCAAAGCGATCCCAGGCACTTCCATTTCAATTGAAAGCAACATCAGCCACAAGCTTGTCCCCAATTTTTTGTTTGCTTGTTGACTTGGCATTACAAAGTGTTTATGTAAATAGCAACTTGTATTTCTTAGCTATACTTTTAATGTTCACGTCAATTATTCCTTACATAGAGAATTGTTTACAAAGCACAATTCTGAAGCTTAAATGTATAGTTCCTTCATTCTTTTGGAAAATACATATAAATTTTTCAAAAATTAGATCTCAGTACTTTGCTTTGGACATTTATTATCTGTGAGTTTTCCTTGCTATTAGGCTCAAATATTTAACATTCTTCAATTAGCACACACACACTTATGGTATACATTACAGCTCTTTGCAAAGTAATGCAATGCCCTTTGTTTAAATGTATCCTGTTATGATTTAGGTATGACGTATCTCACAAAACTCATGTGTGAGAGAGTATAAGAAAGTGTAAAGGTGAAGTGATTAGGTTATAAGAGCCTTAACCTAATCAGGGCATCAATCCCCTGATATGGATTACCTGGGTGGTGACTGTAGGCAGGTAGGGTGTGGCTGGAGGAGGTGGATCACTGGGGTGTGCCTTTGGGGTTTCTATTTTGTCTGTGATGAAGGAAGTCTATCTCTCTCTTTCTCCTTCCTGGTGCCAAGTCCTGAGCAGCCTTCCTCTGCCATACTCTTCTGCCATGATGATGTCTCACCTCCTGATGTCTCACCTCAGGCCCCAAAGAATGGGGTCAGCCATCTATGGACTAAGACCTCTGAAACCATGAGCCCTAAAATAAACTTTTCCTCCTCTTAAGCTGCTCTTGTCAGGTCTTTTGGTCATAGCAATGAAAATCCTACTAGTACACCACTGAATACATAGGTACTTGTAACACAACTAAGCATACATGTGCTATTTATTATGCTATTAAAGGAGATCTATGAACACTAGAAAGCTTAACATACACCTTCCCACTATCTAGCCACTGCTAACAACAACACACCTGGCCTTCTCCTAACTTCTGCTCATTTTCCTACAACATCTCCCACCTCCCTCTTTGAAGGACACGATGCTCTTCCACCAACTCTGAAAATATATTTGGTTATATCTTTATTTCCAGATATTCAAGTAACAGAAATAAACTACTATTAAGATCTCTTCCTAAAAAAAATGACTTAGTGGAATCAGGAAGAAAACCAATGTTTCATTGAATAATCCTGCACCAAAATGATTTTATCCCTAATAGAAAGGAAAAATTCCTTTCCTGGCTTATTCTTCAAGTCTGAGAAAACGACTTGAGGTTACATAGTATTTATTTAAAGTCAAGGTCTGGGGGGTCTTCAATCATGTTTTTATCACTCTGGGCAAAAGGACAGAACAGAAATGGGTCCTGGGATACACAACACCTGTGTCCAGGTACCAGCTCAAAGTAGGGTACATAAGGCAGTTAATACAGGCTTCATAGGCTTTGCCTCAAGATAAACATTACAAAAAAAAAAAAAAGTTCCAACAAGGTCAACACCATCAAGTAATTACAAAGTGTGGGCAGAATGTGAGTGTTTACTTGAACAAACCCACTATAAAATAACATTTATGGGACAACTGAACAAACACTGGCAACATTAAGAAATTGCTTTTAATTATTTTAAATTGATAATAACACCAGGGTTAAATATGCTTAAAATTCTATGTTTAGCTGAGCCCAGTAGTACACACCAGTAATCTCAGCGACTTAGGGGTTTGAGGCAGGAGGATCACAAATTTGAGGCCAGCCTGGGCAACTTAGCAAGACTCTGTATCAAATAACATTTTTAAAAAGGGTTGGATTTTGTTTATTTGTATGAGACAGACCTTGCTAAATTGTTCAGGCTGGCCTTAAATTTCCAAGTCTCCTGTCTCAATCTCCCAGGCATGCACCGCTATACCAGCAACCTGTTTTAAAAACCCCAATCAGCATTTAGTTTTGTTTTTTGGTGGTACTAAGGATTGAAGATTAAATTTAGCGGCAACCTACCACTGAGCTACATCCCCAGTCCTTTTGATTTTGAGACAAGTTCTCACTAATTGCTCAGGCTGGCCTCAAATTTGTCGTTATTCAGCTTCAGCCTCCCCAGTTGCTGGGATTATAGGCATGGGTTACCATGCCCAGCCATAGCAGCATTTTTATTCTTGCCTTTTCTCATCTAATCAGGGCTGTGCTGAAACCCACACTCTGGTAGCCCTCCCTTGACAGTGGATAAGAGAGAAGATGATGCTAGGAATGCTGGAACCCAAAATTACCTCCCAGAAATAAAGGAATCTTTTTGTGAACCAAATGAGAGAGAGGGGGGGGGGGAAATAGAAGCTTTTAAGTGAAAAGTAAGAAAAAGTTACTAAATAAGACCATAAAGGAATTGCCAGTAGAATTGCTTTGTATTTCTTGAAAAAAGTTTTAAAAGGTAGAGAGGGAAAGTCTGGGGATGTAGCTCAGGAATACAGCATTTGCTTGGCATGTGCAAGGCCCTGAGTTTAATCCCCAGGACCACAAAAATAAACTAATAAATAGAGTTCTTATGTTTTAGTGCTCTATACTCAGATCTGAATGGATGAAATGACATGAAGTCTGAAATGTGCTTCAAATTAAGCCAGTAAGGAGGGAGAAGGGCAAGTACAGGGAGAGTACGTGAGGATCCATGATGGTTGTTTATATATCATATCTACATTGATGTATGTTGGGAACTTTCCAACAAAAAGTTAAACAAAATGGCAAAACTCAACTTTAGAGTTCTATAAAATGTGTCATGCTATAGTTTAAAGCAGATTCTATAAAATGTGTCATGTTTAAAGCAGAATTTGGCAAAATTGTTCCTTTGAGGGCTGATAGTAAACATCTTTGACTTTGTGGTGATACTTTCTCTGCCCAGTATTCCACCGTGTTCTGGTAGAGCAGATCTGGTCCTAGATGAGGTGAAATGCAGAGCCTAGCTGTGTTCTGTAAAACTTTATTTATGGACACTAACACTTAAATTCATGTCCATTCACATGTCAGCAAATCTGCTTCGATTTAAAAAAATCATTTTAAAATGTAAAACCGTTCCTTGGTGGGGGAAGAAGAGTTACAGAAAACGCTCAGCAGAAGGGGTTTGCTCTGCAGCCTACACTTGGCACACCTGGGTAAAAAGCAAACCTGGGGCAGCCCAAGGACATTGCACAGTGGTAGGGCCTGCCTGAGGCTCTTGGTTCATCCCAGCGCTGCAAAAGGAAGGGTTCAGGTAAAAAAATAAATAACGCACAAAAGAAGATATGGTACAAAGTAGGTACAAATAGCAAGGTGCGCACGCCACACATGTTAACTGGTGGTCTCTGCTGGATGCACCCGTCTTATTTTCTAGACTTTCCTTAACAACATTGTATGAGGTTTTTCTAATAAGTTTGCAATAACAAACACAATGAACGCTTTTCAAAATACAAGCAATGATCCTTAGACCTGAACTTTTCCCTCTTGCTTTGCAGAATCCCCTAGTTGTCCAGAGTAGTTTCTGGAATGAAAAGACCTCCAGCTCCTGGCTTGGTGCTAGAAGTGCTCAGACGCGCGAGCCCTGGCACCGGCTGGGCACGGAGCAGGTCTCCGTCGCCGGGCCACCGCGCTCCCTCCACCCAGCACTAAGTGTGTCCCAGCGGTGGGCCGCCCCCTTACCAAGGCAGCCGAGGCCGTCGCAAGCAGCAGCGGCCCTCAGGATGCGGGCCGAGGCAGGCGGAGAGGTGGAAGGGGCCCCGGGACCGGCGGGTCGGCGCCGGGGCAGCATCTGCAGGAGGCCGAGCACCAGGCGGAGCGCGCCGCTGCCCAGGCACAGCGCATGGAACGCCCGCGGCTGGAAGCTCAGCACGAGTTGCGTGGCAGCGTCCCGAGTGGGACAACAGAAGGTCCCCAAGCGCGGGGAGGCCATGGGCCAGCTCCGGGATGCGGCTCGGGTCTGCCAGGACCCCGCTGGCCGGCCTAGGTCATGTGCCGGGCGGGCTGAGGGAGGGGGACATCATGTGCCCTGGGCCTCTCCCCCACCTAACCCCCTGGTGCTTGCAGAAAAGGCGCCAGGGTTGGGGGGGGCTGTGCGCCCTCTGCAAAGGCCACGAGGAATCACGAGGGTGAGGCTTGATCTGCAGGAGGAGGGGCAGGGGAGAAAAACCAGAGGTAGGGGACGTCAGCTTTTCCCCTTCCCCGTGGTTTAATTCTCCAGAATTTACAGCCTCAAATCTACCATGGCGTCTTAGCTAGTCTTGGTAGAAAACTGGGCCCCGGGACAGACAGCCACTGTTTGGACTCTGAGATTCTCATATTGATGCCTTTGAGGCCCACGCATGTATGCATCAACTGTGGCTCATGTCTATAAAAGCATCTCTCTCAAGTAACAATGTGGTTAAAACAGTCTTTTGTGCATAGTCACTCTCCCCAATTGGAACAACCCCACTGGAGGTAGAATTTTCATTTAAAATTCAGAAAGCCAAGCCCAGAGTTGCACTCCTGTAATTCCAGCTACTTGGGAGGCTGAGGCAGGAGGATCTCATTTGAGGCTAGCCTCAGCAACTAAACAAAACCTTGTCAAAATAAAAAAGAGCTGGGGATGCAGTTCAGTGATAGAGTGCCACTAGGCTGGGTTCCCACTGTGTCTGTTGGGGGTGGGGGGGGGGGTGAATTTCATTAAGATAATTCTTTAAGAAACAGCAGAATGGTGATTACCAGAGGCCAGGGATAGTAAGGGTCAGATGAGGAGAGACTGACCAATGATCCTAAGTTATATTGAAGATAAGGGCAAGAAGTTCTGATGAACCATTGCACAGTAGAGTGATTTCAAAAGCAAGAAGAAAGGATTTTGAAAGTTTGCACTATAAAAAAATGATAAATATTTGAGGTGATAGACATGGTTAACTGGATTTAAACATTAATGCAATGCATATACATGTATCAAAACATTACATGATATCCCATTAATATGTACAATGTTTATATCTTATGTGCCAGTTAAAATAATTTTGAATAAAAAATAAGAGAAAACTAGTTTTTAAAATTATAGCATACTGTGGGGCTGGGGCTGGGGCTCAGCAGTAGCTCACTTGTCTGGCATGTGCGAGGCATTGGGTTCGATTCTCAGCACTGCATATAAATAAATAAAATTTGGGGGCTGAGGTTGTGGCTCAGCGGTAGAGCGCTCCCCTTGTACATGCGAGACCCTGGGTTAGATCCTCAGCACCACATAAAAATATATGAATAAAATAAAGGTATTGTGTCCAACTACAACTAAAAAATAAACATTTAAAACAAATAAATAAATAAATAAATGATTTTTAAAAAGTCTATCAACAACCAAAAAAAATTTTTTTTTTAATTATAGCATACTGGGCTGGGGATGTGGCTCAAGCAGTATCGCGCTCGCCTGGCCTGCGTGCGGCCCGGGTTCAATCCTCAGCACCACATACAAACAAAGATGTTGTGTCCGCCGAAAACTAAAAAATAAATATTAAAAAATTCTCTCTCTCTCTCTCTCAAAAAAAATTATTGCATACTAATGATAGCAAACAGAATAAAGCTGTTTTCCTCTTAAATTATATAAGGATGTATAAAAAAGTCCCCTCTAGATTGTGGCTTTTATTAAGAAAAAAAAAAAAGGCACTAAAACACTTGCCTAGCAAGAGTGAGGCCCTGGGTGTTCCATTCAAGCACAGAAAAAGAAAAGGAAAGAATGTAAGAAAGAAAGAAAAAGACACCAGCTTTGTCATATACCACTTAGCCACTGTATGGTTTAGATGTAGCGTCCCCCAAAAGCTCATGTGCAGACAGTGCGAGAAGGTTTGGAGGAGAAAGTATTGGGTTATATCTTTAACCTAATCCGGGAATTATTCCCTGATGGGATTAACTGAGTGGTAACTAGAGGCAGGTGGGGTGTGGCTGGAGGAAGTGGTTCACTGGGGGCAGGGCTACAGTGTACATAGTGTGTATCTGGAGAGTGGAGTTTCTCTCTGCTTTCTGATCATCATGTGAGCGACTTCCCTTTGCCACACTCTTTCACCATGATGTCCTGCCTCAACTTGACCCCCAAGGAATGGAGCCAGCCACTTTTGGACTGAGACCTCTGAAACTGTGAGCCCCTAAATAAACCTATCCTTTTCTACTGTTGTTCTGGTCGGGTCTTTCAGCAGCAAAAAAGGCTGACCAAAGCAGCCATCTCCCCCGCCCTGTGTGTTTATTTTATTTTGAGTCAGGATCTTACTAAGTTGCTTAGGCTGGCCTCAAGTTTATGAACCTCTTGCCTCAGACTTCCAAGTAACTGAAATAACAGGCCTGCAAGATGGCACTCTGTTTCAATTCTTTTGAATCAACCAATGCGGAGGTGTCCTTTTTGTTTGCAGGGGCTCTTCATTTAGAGGAGAACACTTCTTTTCCCTCCCACCTCAATGGCTCATCTGCTTTGTACAATTGGAGCTCAGATCCTGGGCCTGCTTCCTCTGGGGACCACAGGCCTGTGTTTCCTGTTGGGTCCCCAAGGAAGACAGACAGGAGGCTTGCTCTGCCAGACGGGAAGCAGAGCCTTATTTAACAATGGGCTGCAAACGCCACCACTTCAAAAGAATCGAGACCTGGCACGTCTATAAACGCAGTGCGTTCTAGCAGCTGCCCTGCCAGAAGTCAGAGCAGACTGACGTTTTCAAAAACCTTAGGAGCTCTTCTGAACCACATACTTAGTCATACAAACAGTAGAAAGCACACTAGAAAGACTCCCCAGACGTTGAGTTGGAGAAGCATAAAATCCTTATATCTAATTTGCACAGTTGAACTCCTCTTTCTCCTCTTTCCTTCTCTCCTGGTAAGCAGAGGTTGCTTCTGGCGGTTAGTGTGTGTGTTTTCCAAGGTCAAAGTGAGAAAGGAGTGGCTGCATGGGCTTTGTGTGGCCCAGCCATGCAAACCTGCCCGTGCATTTCAATTTGTTTTGAGTCCCTGCTGCACATGGCCTGGCCCTCTGCTTCCCATGTGTAAACCTGGGGAGAGGCCCTTGGTCAGAACTTTCTTGGGGAGGACATTCTTGTAATTGTATATTCCTTGGCCCAGGTGGTACAGATGACTGCAAAGACGGGCCTCATAACAAAGATGCAGAAGCCCTGGTTATAAGAGCCAGTTGGGTTGGGAGTGTAACACACTACTTGCCTATCACATGCAAGGCCTGGGTTCCATCCCTGGCATCAGGAAATTTAAAAATAAATAAAGTAATTTAAAAAATTCTATTACCAAAGTGGAGAACTTGAAATTAGTAGAAAAAATAAAACACATGACAGAAGTTTTTCATGGAACAGTACAACTACAAGTGAGAAAACATATATGAAATAAAGCAAATACATGTATACTATGTGCATGCACACACTTGGGGAGGCAGAACATCTGAAAGCAGCGTAGAAAAGTGAGATATACAAAGATGATACTGCTAAACATGGATTTAGAGAAATTGGTGTGGTAATAATCAGAACTTTTGAGTACTCAGATGTACATTCTTTTTTGCATCTTTACGCCATTGTTTTTGGTCTTTCTCCTGATTCAGGGCCTGAATTCACTCTCTTTTTTCATGGTCTGGACTTCCTAGGATATTTATCCCCTGGAAATGCTGTCATCTTCTCTTTCCATTCTATCCGCAACTTGCAGTTAGCCTGCCATCCCCACTAGATCAGATGCACTAACTGCTAGAAAAGTTTCAGTGGGTTTTTCTCCCAGGCAACTTATTTTTCACAGAGAGACCCTGCCAGCCTCAGTCTCAGCTAGAAGGATTGTGTTCACGATAAACTCGGATATCCTGTAGAATCTAGGGGAGGAAGGAGATGGGGCAGATGGATGGTGAGGAGACTGCAGTAATGTGAATTTAAATTATAAATTAGACTTAAATAAATAATGTATGGAGTGTGGGCAGAGTGTGCTCTGAATTTTATATTAATCATCTCATTTAATATGAAGAATGAGCCTTTCAGGTGGGTCTTACTGATACCTAATCCTATGTAAAGAATACTAGTGTGGGGGGAGAGCTGTATTCCAATAAAATTTTATTTGTTTACTGGGGATTAAACCTAGAGGAGCTTAACCACTGAGCCACATCTCCAGCCTTTTTATTTTGAAACAGGATCTTGTTAAGTTGCTGAGGCTGGTCTTGAACTTGCCATCCTCCTGTCTCAGCCTCCCAAGCCTCTGGGATTACAGGAGTGCACCACCATGCCCGGCTAAAACCCATTCTTTAACAAAGATCTCCGACACAGTTTTATTAACTTTAGAAACATCATGTTGGATGTGAGATCTCTGAACTTGTCCATTCTTCAGTCTGCTCCTTTGTCTTCTTAGATATGGCGTCTACTTCCTGCAGTACCGCTCCCTGAAGGTGGCAACACTCTTTCAGTGTGCTTGAGCTTTTTCCTTTTTTTAAAAATTTCACTTATATGGTCATTTTCTTTCTGTGTCTGGCTTATTTCACTTAACATGATGTCCTCCCAGTTCATTGGTGCTGTAAATGGCAGGATCTTCTTTATTTATTGTGTTTGTGTGTGTGTGTGTGGTGCTGGGAATTGAACTCCGGGGCCTTGTGCATGTGAGGCAAGCACTCTATCAATTGAGCTATATCCCCTGTCCAGGATCTTCTTTTTAAAGGCTGAATACTATTTCACACTATAGATAAACCAGTAGGTGGATATAAAGGAAGTGAGTTTACCTCCTTCAGGTATATATCCAGAAGATGATTGCTGAGTCACATGGTAGCTCTCTTTTTAATATCTCTAGGAATTTCCATACCTTTCTCCATGATAGCTCTGTCAATCTATAGTCACATCAACAGGACACTCAAGGTCCCGTTTCTCTGCACCCTCACCATTTATTTTCTCTTTCTCTGAAGACCCCCTCTTTGAGATGGGGGTCTCACTATATTGGTCAGGCTGACCTTCCTCTCCTGGAAGTGCCAGCCACAGCCCCCTTTCAGGTCTATTGCAGACTCAACAGCGTCCTTGCTTTTCTATTCAGTTGAAGATAAATTTA